AGTGGCGTGATATATATATATATATATATATATATCACAATAGTTAAAGTAGCAAGCATGTAGTACCATGATATATATATCACAGTAGTTAAAGTAGCAAGCATGTAGTACCATGATATATATATCACAGTAGTTAAAGTAACAAGCATGTAGCACCGTGATATATATATCACAGTAGTTAAAGTGACAATTTATCACTTTGAGAAGTTAGAGTAAGTTGAAATTTTAAGTAACTTTAAATACATTATTTGTTTTCATAGGTACTGTTCCATAAAGTTAATAGGGTTTATAGCAAAAGCCACAGAAAATTGTGACAGAAGGTTCAAATATTACCAAGCAGACAGCTGCAGTATTAGGGTTTGACAGGTTAAATGAGTTGTTTTTAACGTATATTTAATGAATGGAGAAAAGAGGAACACTTTTTAAAATACTATGTGTTTTAATGACAGAAAATAGATTCAGAATTGACATGAAATGACAACCAAGTTAGTGAAGCTTGATGTTATGACAGATTATCTACAGTCACGTTTCATTATTGCAGTATTTCTGTTAGAGCCAGTCATATTTATTGTTATTTCATTTTGAGCCAGTTATGTTTTTTATTACTCTAATTCAGTGAGAGCTATTCAGGTTCATAACTGTGGTAGGTTTCTGATTCAGAGAGAGCTATTCAGGTTCATTACCGTGGTAGGTTTCTGATTCAGAGAGAGCTATTCAGGTTCATTACCGTGGTAGGTTTCTAATTCAGAGAGAGCTATTCAGGTTCATTACCGTGGTAGGTTTCTGATTCAGAGAGAGCTATTCAGGTTCATTACTGTGGTAGGTTTCTTAGTTTTAAAATCCAAAATTATTAGACGTTCGATAGAGCAACTTTCATACAGCGTTTTGATGTAGCATTGCTTCATACCACTGATGAATGATTACAGACTCATTTTTGTGTTACAACAGTTTAATTACTAATATTTATGCATTGACGTGTTTCTAACACTATATTTGACTTAAATAAAACCCTATTTAATTACTTAATTTCTATTTATTGCTCTGTATGCTATTACGATTTTCTTTTGCTTGATGCATGAACGTTCTGTTTGTTTAATTTGTGTATCCTTATCCCCAGCATGTAATGATGTTAGTGGCAGCGTGCCGTCCCTACTTTGTTCTGTGACAGGTAAGTGTAACTGCCCTCTTCATTTTTTTTATGTTTTGTTTTCTATATTTTTTAAGAAATATTAAAACTTTATTAAATTGGTAGTTTATACAATTTCAAAGGTATAACTTTACAATTCTAAAATGCATTTTGTAGCATGTATTCCTAATAATATTAAGTACGAGAAAAAGGAAATGGTGATATAAGTAGCCAAATTAAGGTTTCAGTTAAAGATTAGACGCCTTTTGTCTAGAACTGTTGATTTAGTTTCATTTGTGACAAAGTAAACCTCATAAACAAAGAAATGACTTAGCTGATCACACTTTAAAGCAAAACTATTTGCTATTTTTTATTTTTCCAAACACCATTCATTATTTCAAGAGTAACTGAGGAATTAACCAGCCGTGATTCACAAATAAATATTTTGTAGAGATGATTTCATGTTTTTATAGTTCATGAGAATTCACTTTAATAGAATATTGTCACCACTAACAGCAAGAGCAGCATTGCAGGGATATTACATACTTAAAATTATAATGTTGGTATCAGAGGTATCCTAGTCAACTCCTCTAAAAGAGTCGCTTTTATTCATATCCTAGCACCTGGAGTCATTTGAATCAATATATAATTTCCCATAAGTATTACATTTACGTTTGATAGGATTGAAGTAAAATAAACGTGTAGGTCACTCAATTTTCTTTGTTATCTTTCTTTGAGGAAAGTGTCGGTGGTGAGGCGGGCATTATCATCCACTATATTGAAGTTACAGCCAATTAAATCAGCAGTAAGTGATGTTGGATGTGGTTCCTATAACTTGGAACATTAAAGTACCATATTGTAAGATGTAGAGATCGGTATGTCCATTGAGTTTTATTCATGCTCACACCATATTTCCATCATCACTCTATGCAGCAAGCTTCTGTATAAAAATAGGGTTGAATCTGATTTCAGATTCCTTCTGGTGAGTCAACACCTGGAAGCACGATTTCTCTGTAAAATAATGTGATTTTACGTGTATTGTATTCACCACTGCAAACGAGCTGTTTTGTACCACTTTGTGAACTCATTGCACCTCATTGAGCGTTCAGAATACAGACCATTCCTGTGAAATATAAACACTAACTGTGCATCGAATAGCGGATGCGGACTTTTGATTTGGCTCCAGAGCACCTACCCAATAGCTGCAGAGAGCCAGGATAAACAAATAACAGTCTTCTGTGTGTTCGACAAACTGTAGTGTTACTTTGGAAACAGTTCCACTTTCTGCTAGACCTAGTGAAGTCGCAACAGCCAGCTGTGATGGGCTTATTATTATCTGTTGGTTCTCCACACGGGTGAAATATCCAAAGCTTTTCTATAAAGTCTAGTTATAGACATGCCGCTTTGCCACTGGGGGGGGGGGGGCTTTCTCTTGAAAATGTATTCAAGTATAACACAGGAAAGCTGAGACAATCTCAGCTACTTTCCGTTCCGGTATACTGAATAAAATTATTATTTTAAATTTAGCTACTCAGTAGGAGTTGAGACGCTGTGGATGTAAGCACTCAACGCCATACCTTTAATTGATTTTTCCACGCTTGTTGGCTAGTTAAATAATCAGCGTTTGGATTTTGTCTGGTAGATGAGATATACACCACACATTTGGGTGATATTACCACAAACATTAATTCAATCGCCTATAAACAATTAATGTAATTAATAGTTTGAAAGCTATATATATATATATATATATATATATATATACAAAAAAGAATATTTTGTTTCATAGATGTTT